ACCCTATTAGAATTTTTGAATTGGCATCTTTAAGCAATTTGCAATTTTTTTGAATTTTTTGTTGTTGTTTCTATGGGAATCTACATCTTGATGAACTGTCAATGGAGCGATTTTGCAAAATTTTGAAATTTGAAAAAAAATTATAAATTGTCAATGGAGCGTATTTGCAGGCTTCCAAAATTAGAAAAAAAATCGTACCTTCAACCCCGTCGTCGGATCGATTCCAAACCAAACGTCCTTCTTACTTCCAGCATACATAATTCCGTCGGTCCCTCGGCAGGGCGACGCATGGACCAATTGCGGAATATTGAACGGCAGTTTCTTGAGAGAGCTATTCTTCAAAACGTAAAGAGATCCGTCGAGTGGGTTCGGTAGAAATGTGAATCCCTGTTTGATGGCTGATGGAGAACGAAGGACGGGTTCTGGAGATTTTGTAGTTTGTAGTTTTGGAGATTTCGAAAAACTCTTTTAGCATAAAAAGCAAGTTTGGAGCTTCTTCTGATTCTTTTTATAGTTTTTTAAAATTCTAACCTTCCTCTAGTGTCCATTTTATTTTTCCAGTTTTCGCATCAAGCGCTCTCAGACGACCATCGATAGTTGACGCTAAAACTGTGTCTTGAATGTCCTCGTCGAAAATTTCTTCTTCCTGAAAAATGCGAATTCTTCAAATTGCTCTTTTTTTTAAACTTGCATTTGGAAAGCCTGGCGTACTACTGTAGGTGCCTGAAGCAAAGAAAAGCAGCAGGAAGATGATTGAGCATAGATGGAAAAGCACTCGCATATTTTTTTTTGCTATTTTCGCCTTCGGAAAAAAATCTCCATGAAGACGTTCGTGTCGGTGTCGCTTAGCTGCAAAAAGAAGGGCAATCGATGCGAAGAGAGACAAAGCAGCTCCAACGGGTCACTTCCACATATATTCAAATTCCCCCATTTAAACACACCGATTATGAAATTTCTGCTGTGTTGTATATTTGTACAGAGAGAGGTGCAGAGAGGGGGGACGATAATAATGTATGTGAAATTGGTGTATTTTATTATTTCCCCTCTAAAGCAACGTTTAAAAAGGCAAGATACGGTCGACAGTGGAGGGTGCGCATTGTACGCAGCTACACCATGTCTAGAATTGCGGACTTTTGCTTATCGTACCTTCTGGGCGCGGGGCTTCATCGTTTGAATTCCGGCTTTTCAAAAACTTTTGAAAGCTCAAATCCACCAAATTTTTTCAGTTTTTTCTCCGATGTTCGATCTAGATATATTTTTGGAGTCTGAAATTGCTATTTTTTCAGTTAGAAATGCCTGATTCCCTCCTTAAAACTTCCCCAGGACTTCAAATTTCTTTTCTCTCAAAATCTTTCAAAAAAGCCCATTTTTTTCAAGTTTTTCTCCCGTTTTTTCCATCTGAATCTGTTCCTGGGATCCGAATTGTTATTTTTTGAGTTAGAAATGTTTGTTTTTTCCCTTAAAACATCTCCAGAACTTCAAAATTCCTTTTTCTCAAAATTTTTCAGAAAATCTCAAAATCAGCCAATTTTTTTCCAGTTTTTCTTCTCATTTTTCAATCTAGATCTGTTCTTGAAACTTCGAATGGTTAGCTTTTCGAGCTAAGAATGTCGGTTTTCTCCTATTGGAACCTAGAATTCTCGACCGAAAATGAAGTTATGGCGGCTTTGAAAAATCTTCTCGAATCAAGAGAAAAATTAGGTGTTTTCCGCTAAAACTATTTTTTCGAATTCTCAAGACTTCATTTTCTGTTTTAAGTCACAGGTTCCATGAACTTTTCCTTCCTACCGAAGCCTGCCGTATGCTCCGCCCATCTTCGCTTTAGAAGAAACTTTTATGGGTCTTTTTCGTTTCCCCGAACGATTTTATCGACGATCTCGATCAGTATTGTTCCCCCGCGGCGCTATAAGGGTTTCTCGCAACCTTGAAGCTCGCTCGGTACCCTTTTCAAGCCAAAGGTTCGTAAAAGTTGAGCTAATTCTAGCTCCATTTATTGTAAAAAGTGAGGAATACAAGGTTTTAAAAAGTTCGAAAAATCAAATAACCCTCCTTCCGCCTGCCGGTTATCAGTTGTCTCCAGCCACCTGGCACTCTTCCAGACTCTTCAACTCGATACTTCCAGATAATGCACTTTTAAACTGTTCAAACTTCGGTATATTTGTGTTGACGTCTCTGACAAACAACTCGCCGAATTTCGATGGGTCGCCAGTGCTGAGAAATCGGAGAGAATGAGAGAGAGAATGCACTTTTTTGTGGGTCTGTACGCGGCGCAAACTTTCTTTTTTTGTGAGGAGAAAAGACATTCGACAAACCACTTGGTCTCACGAAACTCTGTTTTCACGCCTCTCCTTTCTTGCAAGTATGGTCTTGCAGAAGCTTGTCTGATTGATAGGTTGAAGACGTCGTCCTAGTTCTTATCGCAGTAATTCATCTAATTGAGGTTGAATTGAAATTCTAATGTCAAAATCTTTGAATTTGAATCATGACATAAGATTCCTGAGTAACCTCTAAATTCTCTAAAATTTTATCGTGGGGGTCTCCAGTCGAGAAAACAAAGAACCTTGAACCCAATGCACTTTCTCACAAGACCCAAGAAAGTTTGACCTTTTGCTCTTACCCCGCCGTTACACTGATATTTCATGCTTCTTCATCTCCCGTGGACTTGTCTTCCGATTCATCACCAGTAGGAGTTTCTTCTTCTTCTTTTTTTTGCAGCCGCCGATGTTGCGAGACACGTATGCGCATGCGCTCAACTCACTCTCTCTGTCGTCTCCTCTTCGTTTTCCGCTATTTTTTCTCATCAACGCGGCCGCACCAACTAACCCCGCCGCTTCGTCCTATCGATTCATCCATCGCGGTGCCCTGTCGCCGCGTCGCGCTATTTTTTGCAGCGTCCCTTCCCCCCTCCCCCAGTTGGCGCTCACCCCCAGTCACTTACTTCTACCCCCAGGCCCTGTCTTCTTCTCCTTTTTCGGGTGTCTCCAGCGGTCCCTAATTGTGCTCCCCGCTCTCTGAACTCTGCAGTTCCCCTTCTCCTCCGGTGTCTCCTGGTTCCTAGGTGTTGTTGATGGGCAACCGCTTATAGAGATTAAGATTAAGAATCCTTGGTGCGTCGCGGCTCGGCGAGCTGCTACTCGGATTACAAAGGCTTCTTTAGAGCTGCCTTGGCATCGTGCCAGCTTCTCTGATTCCTACTGGTTGCAAAATTCTTGCATACCGTAAAACCTGTATCAGAAGGGCTGTCTTTTATATTTTCCCAAGGTACCTCTCCAGGGCCCTTCTATTACAGGGGCCCTTCAATTAGAGGGGGCCCTTCTATTTTTCCGGCCAGTTTTTCCCGAAAATACGCATCGAAAAGTTCGACGAAGTTTCGTTCAAAATCCATGATAATCTGCCAATTTCACCGAAATTTAGCAAAATTTTCATCGGAAAATAGAGTTTCAACAAACTTCTAGTAAATTGTGGAGTTCCCGGAATATTTTCTACTAAAAAAGTACGGAAATGTTCTGATTTCAAAACACATTTCGAGTTCTTTTTTACAGAGGGCCCTTCTATTACAGGGGCCCTTTAATTACAGGGGCCCTTCTAATTCAGGTTTTACGGTAACTGATGTTTAGTATTCCACAACTCTTCTGCTCTCGATTTATGTGATGATCAAAAAATCAAACACAGCGTCGCTCTCGAAGCAGAGCGACCCAGTTGCAATATTGTGTTCCTGATTCAGAAAAAAACATCTCTCTATGTATTTGTTTAGTCACCACTTTCCCACAAAAACAAAGGCAGAGGGAGAGCTGGTATACTGTGAAGTCAATCCAGTGTTCCTTGCTCATTTAATTTTCTTCCTCTCCTCAACACTCATTCCGCATCACTCCTTCAATCACTCCTCGCTGGAGCCATGGCACGATCATCTCTGAATTGCAAAATTTGCAATATCTTTCAACACCGGCCCCTACGCAACTGCCGCCCCTCTTCCTCGCCCAAAAGCTATCCGATTTCAAAAAGAGGTCAGCTGTGTGATGAGGGGCGGCGTAATACAAGCGCAAAATAAATTATCATTTCCGTTCGTTGGTGTAGTGTGAGTCAAGTTAAAGTCGGGTTTTTTTTCTCTTTGCTGATTTGATAACCGTCTTGGCTCCTTCTCCTTCTTCTTCTTCTCTCCATCGTTATACGGTTTTTGTAATATGACGTATACGATCAGAAAACCACGATTGTAAATCATATTTCCTCCTCCTCCTCCTCATCCATATAATCTATCATATCTCCGAATCGGAGACTCCGATCAAAAGGGCATCCCCCAAAGTATGCATTCTGCCAATCAGTTGCTTCCTTTGATCTAGAATCCTATTTTTTCGTACTTGTAAACCGAGTTATGTATGTTTAGAATCAATTTTTCGGACCAACCGGAATAGTTATGATAGAAGAACTCAAGAACTACAAAATGGTACTATTTGGAAAACTGTACCTAGTCTTCGAGCAAAGTTAGGAACCATAAAGTGGTTCAGTCTGTAACTTTGTTCATAGACAAGATATAGTTGTCCAAATAGTACTATTATGTAGTTCTTGATTTCTTCTATCATATCCATTTTAGTTGGTCCAGAAAAGTTCATTCTGAAAGAAACTATGGCAGGGTCCGGTTTACCGGCATACAAGTATGCTATTTTTAAATGAATTGCTAAAGAAGTTCGAACGTCGATTTGAAAATCTAAAAGTGCAAAAAACTTGTTTTCGGTCCTGTCCTTCCTTGTCCAAAGGTGTAAGAACAAAGGGCCATTTATTGGGACCCATCTACGCGCGCCCAATTGCACACATTCATCAAAATGTCGCTAGATATTCGCAACATGTAAAAGAGTGCAATAGACGGACACTGTGTATTAATTTGCCGTCGTGTTGGTTATCAGAGAAATTCGCCCTTATCAGAGAAATGATTCGACCCATTCATTATCTTTCGTCGACTGCAAGCACACACAGGTGTGTACAATTCGCAACATTTTTGGGTAGTGGTGGTGAGAGCTGCTCTCTCTCCTTACTGGCCGTGATAACAGAAGAGAAGTGTGTTGTTTGTATGCGCACCCCTCCATCCACTCAACTCATCTTCTTCCCATCATCCCCCATCTCTCGTTTCGCTCCCCTGTAGTAGGTCCAATAAGATTGTTGCACTTTTGGAAGTGGTCATCGCTTTTGTATCCAGAGATTAGTATCGCTTTTTTGCCTCTTTTTATAGTCTTATAATCCAAATTTTTTTCTTCATATGAATTCATCAACATGTTTGCCTTCTTCCTTCTTGGTTTTGTTTTGTTTGACTATCATAAAATAAAAACCCTGAAAATAGAAGTGCAGTGTTATTCATTATGTTATAAAACTCAAAACAATAGGCAACATAGAATGTGTGGGGTGTTATAGGTCGGCTGTTCAAATATGAACATATTTTGAGCTTGATGTCCTTCATATCCGATGTTAGAGGCGGAATTTGTGATAGTTTGCACTTTTACCGCAAGAATTTTATTGCCATTCTAACTTTATGATCTTTGGAAGACACAAGAAGAAGGTCTGCAAATCTTTGAGGTCTTCTCCGCGCTCTTGTTTACAGCATAACCAGTTGTAATCTTACGAAATTGCTCATGTTTTGATTTATAGAACTTCTGCCTATAAAAGGAGTTGTTAGACGGGTCATAGATTCTGCCAGAATCAATATTTTCGAACTAACTGAATGAGATAGAATAGAACTCGGCGAGTACTACAGTTTGGTACTATTTGGGAAACTGTACCTTGTCTGTGAACTATGTTAAAAACCATAAAGTGGTTTGGTCTGTAACTTTGTTCATAGACAAGATACAGTTTTCCAAATAGTAACATTTTGTAGTGCTCGTCGAGTTCCATCATATCTGATTTAGTTGGTTCCAAACTATTGATTCTAAAAGAGATTATGGTCCGTTTGACAAGTGTGACTTCTAAATCGTTCCAGATCATTACAATAATCTGATCGAAAGATGTCACTTGCTATCATGTTGCGCTTTGTCTCATAGAGTCTGTGAGTCTATATCACGTGTCTGTCTGGCGAGAGAAGTTGGAATTTTTTGAGACTGAGGCGGAGACAAGAAGGTCGTTAACATTTCAAGGTTCTTCTCTCCCCCCTTCCCTCTCGAAAGATATAATTCACATGTACTTTCTTCTTCTGCGAAGCATCATCTGTCCTTCCTTCCCGAATCCATCAAAAACTTCCTTGTTCATATCATCTTCTGTGGCCCCTACTCTTCCATGATTTGATATGTATATCATCTCATCATCATCATCTCATCTACAACTAGAAAAATCAGAGGACAGAGAGAGAGAGCCGCATCTCTCGGGGTGTCCGTGTATTCGGCGGCCCGTGTTTCGTCCTTTACTCAATCGGCTGCCCTCGTCGTTCCCTATCTCTCCGTCTCCCCCAGGCCACCGGCGATAGAGATAGAACGAGAGAGAAAAGGCCCCGAAAAGAAACGGCCTGGGGGAGGGAGAAAAAAGAGCGAGCGGGGAGGGGGAGAAAAGAAAAAAGGTCTCTCTCCTTTTTGCCCCTACCCTCCCCTTAGTCTTCTTCTATTCCCATCTCCCCCAGTGTCGTCGTCGGCGCCCGGCGCTCTTCGATTTGTGGCATGTGTGTGTGTTTTACCGTTCACTCCTGTCTGGTTTATTGTTGTATTATTTTGGCGGGCGCGCGAGGAGGCGCCAAAAACAGAACAAAAGTGCATTAAAAAGAGGAGGCGCCAAAAACAGAACAAAAGTGCATTCGTTGAGAACCTAGAGATAGGCAACAAACCATATGGTCGACGCTTTTTCACTTGTTTGTGAAGTTTCTCGAAACATAATGAAAGGTTTCAGCAATAACAAAATACCAGAGATACCCCCTTGCGGCGGAAACAAGTATGATCCCGTTGTGTTGCTGGTCATCATTCTGTCATACATCTGCATTAGCAGGCGCTCATATATCGGGATAAACCCATAAAACCCCCCATATCGTCATTTTTCTACTAGTGCAAAGTTTTAGTTATTAGACGACCTTGAATTGCTTCTTCTTCTTCTTCTTCTTCTCTAAATGTCAGTCACTGATCAATTCGGTTCTTATCTACACCTAATAGTAAGAGTGTCATTTTTTTTTGTTACAATGCTTTGGACTTCAAAGTTCCTTCTCTTCCAATCTGACGCTTTTGATCTCAACTCCTCCCTTCTTTCCCGTCTTCTTCTTATGCCGAGGAACTCAGTCCGAAATACCACATGTCGGCCACTGACGCCGATTCCGAAAATCTAGGTCGCTCCTCGTCTCTCTCCGGAGCCCATTAGTTTTTTGAGATCTCTCATTTTTCGCACTACTCGCGGATGCACTGGGAAGATTGATCTTTTTTCATCTCCCAGTGGATCTATCTCCTGATTTTTTCCTCTTCATTTTGAATCGAAAATTTCGATTTTTGGTTTTTTCCAGAACCACCATCCCTCTTGTATGTATAGCACGTAGTACATGAAAAGTAACCATGGAAGTGTCAACGTCTTACTGTACGCCTGCCGTCAACTTCAAGTACGGCAGTTTCCCAGATTCAGATGTCTCGATGCGGGAAGATGAGCTGTTTCGGATGGGGAGCTACAATTCTCAAGGGTACTACGTCGACGGAACTCATATCGGTACTGATAATTGATTTAAAAAAAGAGCAATTATTAACCAATTGACAAGATTCAGACGGTTCCATCGGAGAAGAGGATGACACGTCTTCAGGGAGCAACGATCAGGACGACGACGAAGATCAGATGGATTTCGAGGAGGACGACTTGGAGCCGGAATCTTCAATATCCACAGAAGACGAAGAGGAAGAAGACGAGGAGGATAATGACGAGTGGACCAATCAGAAGCGGACTGATAATCAGGTGAGTGCTAATTATCAGTTATCCCATAATCATAGAATATGATAAACAACACCTGATAAATCCTGTAAACAAGAGGAAATATGTATAAAATTCTTTCAGAACAGCGTCGCCTACTACGCCGCGATGGAGATGCTCCGCATTCGTTTCCCATTCCAGTCGATAGCCATTCGCATCTCAGATTTTTGTTGTCTCCAGGAGAAGGTATGTAATACTAATCTCTGCTCTTCATCGCTTGTAGTAGAAGATTATTACTGTGTACTTCGACCCTATCGAGTAAAGGGGGGTGGGATCACTATTTGCATACCCTTTTGTTGTTGTGTGTTCTCTGCGCTCTCCTATCTATTTCTCTGTCTAGACGAATTTTATTAGAAAGAAGACATAGTGTGGAGACGATTTCTTCGTATCTAGTTAATCGGTCTTTGTTGAATAAATGGCCCTCCGAGAAAGAAAGAAAAAGAAAAAGAAACAGATCCGAATAGAGAAAGGGTGTGATGTTGCACTTTTAATGCACTTTTGTTGGTTACGCGGGCGCCCGCTGCCCGACTGAGGTCTTTTTTGAGTCAGCCTTCGTATGTTGCGTTTTTTTTGTTTGGATTGCTTTGAGAAGGGGGACACCGAATTTGTTTGCGAACTAGAAGAATCGTCTGTGAGTCAATTTGGATGTTCCTTTTTCTACGAGTTGAACGACTGGGATTTGTTGTTTTGAAGTCCTCCGCATCGAGTTTTGACAAGAAAATTAGTAAACGCGCGCCGTCAAAACATGCATAGTCAACATCATCACCTCTTCTAGGGCTTCCATGGATCTGCGCTGGCAACGCTCCAAGCGATTTAAGAGAGCGAGCAAAATGAGGAGTGCGCCCCGGTGCCAGGTACGGCGACACGGGCTCAGCCGCCGGGCGCGCGCGCAGAGAAACGAGAGAAATGAGATGTGTGCTTTGAGCCATTGGCACATTGCCAATTTTTTCCAGAAAGGGGAGTCGCTATTTCAAGATACTCGGCGTCATCTGGCCACAGTATCCCAGCCGGATGTTATCTTCTTCTTCTTCAAATTACCAAATTACATTCGTATCATAACATTCGCACAACACAAAGGCCGTTCTTAATTTCCCGACGCCAGGGTCGCAGCCCGATTCTTCTTAGACCTCCGACGACGCCGCGCCATCATCGTCATCGTCATCCTATCCTCCTTCTTGTGTGGGCAGCTGCTGCGCGCGGTGGGGGCAGTTCAGGGTCATCTTGTGGAGAAAAGTAATGAACTGGTTTTTCTTTCACATTTTTCGCGCACGCACCCGGCATTCTAGAAAATTTAGATGATTGAAGGATATCGCATCTTCTTGGAGGACGATTCGGATGCTGGGAGATGTAATTTTTGATGAGCGACATAGGAACACGGAGTAGTAGTAGGGGGGAACACCAGAGGGAACACTGAGCAACTGGTGATCTATGATCGGCTATTGGTTATTGGCGAGCAGTTTTATTGTTACAAAAATGAATGCGCGAACAGAAATACGAGGGTCATACTCAATGATTTATCAGGGAATATGAATATAATTTTTTTTTGCAGGATCTTCTCAACGACACTATGATCGACTTCTATTTGAATCACATCGTTGAGCACGTTCTCCCTGACAGCAGTGGCTCAAAAGTCACCGTTCTTCCATCGCTGTTCTGGCACAACTTGTCGTTGAGACAACACGCGTCGGACTCGGAAGACGAGAAACTGATGAGCGACGAGCAGAAGATGGATCTCAAATTTGGCGATTTGCACGATTTCGTTGCCGACTTCGATCTCCAGGACTTTGATTATATTGTGGTGCCGGTGAACGAGTGGGAGCACTGGTCGTTGGCTGTCATCTGCCATCCATACACCTCCAAGGCTCGTACTGTGATCTTCGACTCTCAACTGACTGCCGACCTGAATAACCTTCAAAATATGGCCACATTAATCGAGGAGTTCATGAAGTATTCATACGAGAAACGCACCAGAACTGTGATGCCGTATCCATTGCCATGTGTCTTGCCGCAAAGAATGCCACAGCAGACCAACAACTATGATTGTGGAATCTTCATAGCCGAGTTCGCAAGATGCTTCTTGTTGAATCCACCAAAAGATGTAGGATTTTGAATCAGCTCCGTCCTTCTACTATTGCCTTTATTTTCAGCTCGACAACTTTGACTTTGTCAACGAGTACCCAGAATTCAACACGACCAACAAGAGAGCCGAAATGCAACGTGCCGTTCTTTCGCTCTCTCCGAATCGTGCTCGTTGGCGTCCACTCGTCGAGCTGCTTAACGGCTACAACACTGCCGCACCACATCGTGCACTCTAAGCATCTTCTTCTTCTTCTTCTTCCAGTCTCACACAATACCCCGGTTACTGTACCGTTCAGTCTTCCTTCTTTCCTTTTTCTCTCTTCTCTCAATCCCGATACTGCCCCACAGTCCCACAGTCTTGCTCTCTGTCTGAAGAAGTGTATCTTTGATGTCAGACGGGGATTGGTATGTGGCAAGGGAAGTTTTCTTTTTTTTCCTTCTTACATTGTTCTGTTAACCCATTTTCACTGAAACAAAAAACCCGAAAAAACCTTACCCATTGTTGCCTCTCCTTGTTACTCTGTTTTTTTTTCTTCTCTTAATTCTGTTGTTAACCACATTCACACTGTTGCTGAAATATCTATTTATTCCGGCTCCTCCTCCGTTTCCCCTTTGTCCTCCAGTCTTCCTCTTCCCCGTCCCTCACCGACTTCTAGACATAAAAACAGGTGTTCACCCCGATTATATGCGAGTTCTTCTTTTTTCTCCCAAGCGATTCCATTATTTTTTCTCAACTCTGCGCTCCCCAGTTATCTGTAAGTATTCCCTCATATGTTGAGTAGGAGTGTTGTTTTAAACACTGGCTCTCAACTATAATCGGTTTACCTATAGTACACACTTCCCCCTATCTAACACCTCTGTTTTTCTTTCATTTTTCTATCAAAACCATATCCCCGATTCCCCCCTAAACACTGCACATGGGTTCTCGTTGTTTCGTTTGTGTTCCACCATTGTTGTAGTGTGAGAGATTTGTTTTCTTCAAAAAATGTTCTAAAGGTGCATGTTGTGTGCGGTCTCAAAGGCCAAGCTCCAACATACCACCCACACCTTTTAAAAGATCTATTCCATTCCGTTTCTTTTGTCTCCTCAATTTGTACATTTTTTGTTGGGTATCCATGGTGGATCTCCTAGAGGAAGTGTCATTGATTTTTGCTAAAACATCCTATGTTCTCTCTTCTAACGAAATCTTGTTTCTTGTTCTAGTAGTTACTAGAGAGCTCATTAACAAAAAATCAGTGACACCTTCTAAGACTTCACCACCGATACATTTCTCATTGTTATTGTAAATCAAATCTCCCGCCCTCCTCTTTCCCATCGTTCGTTCTTTTCGAAAATCTTTGTGTTTGTCTCGTTCCATGACAAAAATTCCTTTAAATTTTGGAATTTTCTGAAAATTCCGAAATTTCGATGTCCGCTGGTTTTTTTTCGTCCCTTTTACACTGTTCACAAATTGTTATATTTATAATTTTTGTTCTGTTCTTTCTTCTTCTTTCCTTCCCCACATCTTTAATCATTAGCGCCTCGGTTGATTACATATTATGGGTCGTTTCATTTTTTTTGTCCCCCCTACCTTCTTGATTTGGTAATATTATTTTGTTTCCCTCCATGTTCCCTTTCCCCAAAACTGTGTGGTTCTCATCCATTTTTAGATTCCTAGGGTTTCCCAAAACCTTCCCTCCCATTGTTGTTCTTTCAGCTCTTTCCCGCAAGTTCTGAGCCAAACAAAGACAATAAAACTGTTAACTCAAATTTCAATTAAAATCGATGTTTATATTATTACAAATCGACATGCAATAGAAAACTCTATACAATATGAACAGCTTAAAAGGCACAAAATGGGAATTGACTAGTCATGAACAATAATCGGATCTGTCGACTCCATTGACTCGTTGTCCGCTGCACCGTGCTCCGCATCGCGAACAATAGAATCGGGATCCGGATTATCGACGCCGTGGTACTCGTTGTGAGGGACCTGGAAACCGGAGAAATTGAAAAAGCCACGTGGCATATTGAATGTTGGTCAGTAGTTATAATAGATTAGAAACCGAAAAAGTTAGGAACATTCAGAAAAACCTGTTTAGACTAGCTAGAAACGACTGATTTCTTGAGTTTTCTTTGGTTTATTATCCTGCAAAATTTTGAAAAAGAAAACTCTTCAAAACGCACACTCAAAAGATGGCGACTCACTTCAGCATCCGGATAAAGCGCGTAGTGCTGAATCATGAAGATGATGTCGAAGAAGATGGAAACGAAGCCGAGACCGAATTTCACCGGGTTCGCGTAGAACGCCGACCAATCGTTGACATTGATCGCTTGAAGGACCATTTGAAGGATGTCCAACGAGCCACCGGTGAAATCGAGCAATATGTTGCCGATGGACCAGCCGACGGTGCTCTTTCGCTGGTAGTTGAAGTAGGCCTGAAAAATTCGCGTATTTTCAATTCTTCCTCTTCTTATTAGCATTTTCTTTCAAAAATTTTCACCCATTTCTGAGTTACATCTCATTTTTTTTGCTCCCTTTTCAACTCAAAATATGCGCGCGGCGCGGAAAAGTTGGCGGAGCGAAGCGGCTCAAGACTGCGGCGCGGAAAATCGGCGAACTATTTTATCAAGTTTTCTGCTGATTTTTGGGTTTCGAAAACGAAACAAAGATAAAAAATTGCAGACAAACCTGTGGGAAATATTTACAGCAGGTGACGGCCATTTTGATGTAGGAAAGGCTGACGACAAAGTCCAGAATTGTAATCTTATTGAGCACAGTAACCACAACAGAAACGAATCCAAAAGAGACAAGTCCAATAATGAGAATTATGCATTTTGTGGAAATCCGTTGCTGGTCTCTCTCGTAGAAGATACATTGAAGAATTGTGACGAAGCAGGCCAAGAAGGCGTGCACAGCAAACACCACGTCATTCAGAAGAACGGGCGGTGGGGAGCGTGGATTTTCCATAGAGTAGATGTTCTTGACATGACTGTTATAGTACATTAACAGGTTGAACATTGCGTATGCTCCGAAACCAACAAGATTCAGGGAGAGAAAATCAAAGTTCAGCCCGACCACACTTTTCCGCTTGAAGTTTAGATACATCTGTGGGTAGAAGCTGACACTCCAAGCCGCGAAATAGGTCCATCCGACGATTTGAATCAAGATGGCGAGCCAGTGAGACCGGATTACTGTGATTCTGGAGTAGGCGTCGAGGAGGCTGAAATTAAACTTGTTTTTTTGAAATTTTATTTATTTTTTAGCTTCTTACTCTAGCGAACAGACTTCCTCTCCATCTGTAGTACAGTTAAGAGCCTCCAGAATCTCTCCAGCCACTGGTCTCTCTCCACTAACTGTCACATTGGCCCACCAGTTGTCAACGAGAACCACATCGGGATTTGTGATGTATGGTGATTGGGAGAGCTGAATTCGCGTCTGGTTGAGAGTAGAAGATGTGTGGTTTCTGGAAAATTTTTAAATATTTTTTTTCTAGAAATTTCTAGATACTCACTTGATTTGAAAAGTAATCGAAGCCGTCTCGCCGACACCGATTTCCACCTCCTTCTGCGTGACGATCACATTGTTGAAAGCCAATATTTGAGAAACCGAGATGAAGAAGAGAATTGACACCGGGAGTTTCATTCTGGCATGCTGAATAGGAAGGTCAGAAATTTGTCGAATATTTTATGAAACGAGAGATCGAAATATTTCGCGAAATCGATACAACATGAAGAGAAGAGAGAAAAACGGAAGAACAGACAATAACATTTCGACGATTTGGTAAACAATACATCAACGAAAAACAGAATAGTCATAGCTTTCCGAAATTTTGAAATATATTCATTTTTATTGTTCTGGAAAGCCTCAAAAATCGACGAAAAAAAGATGATCAGCTGACTCAACAATGATAAAAGATCAGATCAGCAAAATCTTGTTTTTCAATGAAAAAAAGAGGTGGAAAAGTGGAAATAACCGAAGAAGGGTGTTCACAGACAAAAAGGAAATCGTTCAGAGAGAGTAGACAAAGAAACACTGCGATTCTGCCTGAAAACAACTTTAAACTTTCACTTCAAGCGTACTGGTTACTGTTTTTTTTTTGCGGCAAAACCGTGCCAGGGTTGCAATTTAGGCTCCGCCCCCTCGTGACCGTGTGTGCAGAAACACCGTGTGGCAAAACCGTGCCAGGGTTGCATTTTAGGCTCCGCCCCCGACTCCGCCCACTTTCCCCGGTTTTTTTTCCCAGATTTTCTCTTTCCCCGGAATTTGCGGGGTCTCATGACAAAAATAGTGAGAAGCAACCACGCTCTGCGGGTCAGATGGAAAAATTGGCGCGGGCTTTGAATTTACAAAAATTGTCATCATTTTTCCAGTGTCTTCGAGAAGATTCCTACTGGCTTTCTTGCTCATCTTTCGCAACTTTCGAGAATATCCTTTGTTTTTTTTTCGCTTATTTGTGTAAAAGTTGTACTCAAAGCAATTCCACAATCTCACAAATGTTTGCTAATCAGATTATCACCTGTTTTAAAGCATTTTTTTCCCGATTAGATTCGAATTTCAAATATCTTCTCGTCTGTATTTTTTAACCTGAATTTTCCAATATTTCAGTTTCTATTTCAACTTTATCTTCATCGTTTCGCAACAATTCTCCAGGTCACTTCAAGACATATAATCTACCCATTTCCTCTCGAGAGGGAGACCTCTCCCTTCTTCTCTTGAGAACGATTTCTGAAGTCAATAGCATACAAAAAATCATTAACATCTTCTCAGAATCCCAATTTCGATCCAAAAAACTGCGGAACGCGAAGTAAGCGCGCTCCTCCGACAACAATTTACGTTGAAACGCGACGTTTTGTCATCATGCAGCGCGCGATGTTCGTCAAGAGCTAGTCGACGTGTTCCTACCTTCATTCGTTTGCCTTACCCAGTCTCCCATCCTCTCTCACCCCATACCATCAAATTATCCTCGTTTCCTCCGATCGATTAGTTCTAGAGTCTAGGGCTTCTTTTCCTTTCCTTTTTCTCTCTTTTCATATGTCTATGTCTGCCACCCAATTCAAGACGTTATTTTCAGACTAAAACTTCTAACAATGGCGCAAGTTCCTGTCCAGAAGGACGAGAAGGAAAAGAAAAATGATGAGCTGGCAACAGCCATCCTTAAGGACAAATCCAGACCAAATCGTTTGATCATCGACCAGTCGGAAAACGATGACAACTCGATGGTCTCGCTCTCACAAGCAAAAATGGACGAACTTGGACTCTTCCGTGGAGACTCGGTCATTCTGAAAGGAAAGAAGCGACGAGAGACAGTGTCGATTGTGTTGAATGCTGACAACTGTCCCAATGATAAGATCAAGATGAACAAGGTGGTGCGCAACAATCTCAGAAGTCGTCTCGGTGACGTCGTCAGCATTTCTAGTGCCCAATTGGAGTACGGAAAGCGCATTCATGTTCTTCCTATTGATGACACTATTGAAGGATTGACTGGGTAACCAAATTTTATTTTTTTAAAAAGTCCAAACTGATATCTTTTTTAGAAACTTGTTCGATGTGTTTCTTCGTCCATACTTCACGGATGCCTACCGTCCAGTTCACAAAGGAGACATATTCACAGTTCAGGCTGCGATGAGAACTGTCGAGTTCAAGGTTGTTGAAACTGACCCAGCTCCGGCCTGCATCGTCGCTCCAGACACTGTCATCCACTACGAAGGTGACCCGATCAAGAGAGAAGAGGAAGAGGAGGCACTCAATGAGGTCGGATACGACGATTTGGGAGGAGTTCGTAAGCAACTGGCTCAAATCAAGGAGATGGTCGAGCTGCCACTCCGTCACCCACAACTCTTCAAGGCTATTGGAGTCAAGCCACCACGTGGAATTCTGTTGTTCGGACCACCAGGAACAGGAAAAACTTTGATCGCAAGAGCCGTTGCCAATGAGACTGGTGCATTCTTCTTCCTTATCAATGGTCCAGAAATCATGTCGAAGATGTCCGGAGAGTCCGAATCCAATTTGAGAAAGGCTTTCGCCGAATGTGAGAAGAACTCGCCAGCCATCCTCTTCATTGACGAAATAGACGCTATTGCTCCAAAGAGAGAGAAGGCTCATGGAGAAGTCGAGAAGCGTATTGTCTCTCAGCTCCTCACTCTTATGGATGGGCTCAAGACTCGTGCTCATGTTGTCGTTATTGCTGCCACCAACCGTCCAAATTCCATTGATGGAGCTCTTCGTCGTTTCGGGCGTTTCGATCGCGAAATCGACATTGGAATTCCAGACGCTGTTGGACGTCTAGAAATTCTCAGAATCCACACCAAGAACATGAAGCTCGGAGAAGATGTCGATTTGGAGCAAGTCGCAAATGAGTGCCACGGATTCGTTGGTGCCGATTTGGCTTCTCTTTGCTCGGAAGCTGCTCTTCAACAAATTCGTGAGAAAATGGAGCTCATCGATTTGGAAGATGATACCATTGACGCCGAAGTACTGAACTCTTTGGCCGTCACCATGGAAAATTTCAGAGTAAGTTTATTTCTTCAATTCAAATTTAATTTTTCTAAATTCTCTTTCTTTTCAGTTCGCAATGGGAAAATCGTCTCCTTCTGCTCTCCGGGAAGCCGTCGTCGAAACTCCAAATACCACATGGAACGACATCGGAGGACTTCAGAACGTCAAGCGAGAGCTTCAAGAGCTTGTTCAATATCCAGTCGAACACCCAGAAAAGTATCTCAAGTTCGGAATGCAGCCATCGCGTGGAGTTCTCTTCTATGGACCACCAGGATGCGGTAAAACACTTCTTGCCAAGGCTATCGCTAACGAATGTCAGGCCAATTTCATCTCCATCAAGGGTCCAGAGCTCCTCACTATGTGGTTCGGAGAATCCGAAGCCAATGTTCGTGATGTTTTTGATAAGGCACGTGCCGCTGCTCCGTGTGTTCTCTTCTTCGACGAACTCGATTCCATCGCCAAAGCCAGAGGAGGAAGCGTCGGAGACGCCGGAGGTGCTGCTGATCGTGTGATCAATCAAGTTCTCACCGAGATGGACGGAATGAACGCGAAGAAGAATGTCTTCATCATCGGAGCCACCAATAGACCAGACATCATTGATCCAGCTGTTCTTCGTCCAGGACGTCTCGATCAGCTCATCTACATTCCACTTCCAGATGAAGCGTCCAGACTCCAAATCTTCAAGGCCAGTCTTCGCAAGACTCCACTTGCTGCTGATCTCGATTTGAACTTCCTTGCCAAGAATACCGTCGGATTCTCAGGAGCCGATTTGACTGAAATTTGCCAACGGTAAGTTAGAAACACTTATAATCCCTATGTCTATTTGTTCTGTTTCAGTGCTTGCAAGCTTGCCATCCGCGAGTCGATCGAACGTGAAATCCGTCAAGAGAGGGAACGTCAAGACAGAAGAGCTCGTGGAGAGGAACTCATGGAAGACGAGACTGTTGATCCAGTGCCAGAAATAACTCGCGCTCACTTCGAGGAAGCCATGAAGTTCGCCAGACGATCAGTCACTGATAACGATATCAGAAAGTACGAGATGTTCGCCCAGACGCTCCAGCAGTCTCGTGGCTTCGGAAATAACTTCAAGTTCCCAGGAGAGGCTCCATCGGGTGGCCAGCCAGTTGGAGCAGGAAACGGAGGTGCCGGTGGAAACGATGACGATGATCTTTACAACTAGATTAACCGATGGAAACTTATTTATTGTAAATGCACACCCCAAGAGAGGGTATTATGTTTGTAATAAAACATCTAAAAAATCATTTATGAGTTCTTCTTAATTTTTACAGGTAAAAATAAAAGGGAAACCGTAGAGAAGGAATTTTGTTTGAGATTTTTAAGGAGGTATTCAAGGAATTAGGTTATGCGTTGACCGGAATCGGTGACGATGGTTCCTGAGGTTCTGGTGGTGGTGTTTGTTCCGGTGAAGCGTATCGCAACAACGAGCTTCGAACAACTCGTGCCCATCCTTCTCGAGATTCATCCCAGATCACTTCAAGTTCTGTGTCTTTCTCGTTATTCGCCAAAAGTGTAATCTCTCCATGAAACATTTCGATTCCATCATTCTTTTGTTGCAAATTCGGATCGTAGATGATCAAATCGGCAGCAATCTGATTCCAGTCGATTTTGATGACTTTAATGATTTCTGATAGTGAAAGAGTGATTGGCATGAAATCCTCAGTTTCCACAAGTCGAGTGCTAGGCATTACATCGATAGTCTCCTTCTGCAATTGGGATTTTGTTGGAATTTGTTGGAAAATTTTAAAAATCTTACCTCTTGGTCATAAACGATTTCAGCGACGAACGGGCATTCCAGTTTTGAAGGATTCGGATCGAGAGCAATGCTTTTGTTGATTTTCTGAAATTTTAAAATGATTTTTGTATTTTTATAGGCCTTCTGAACATCTTCCCTTTGTTTCTAGCATTCTGAAACCCGAAAATTCCGAAAAAAACAATTCGCTGATTTTCCGGTCTTGCCGCCGACTTCGCTCCGCCCACTTTTCCGCGCGCAAATAAAGGAAAATGAGAAGCAGAAATTGAGCGGAAACTCGGGAATAAAGCGCTAATTTTGAAAAAAAAAAGCTAATCAGAAATGAAACAAACCTCCAGAGGAACCCGAATATCCATTTTAGGCTCCACTTCAATCACACAGGTCTCTCCGTTCGCTGGCATATGCACTGGAATATCGTACTCCTTCTCTACTTTTCCCTTCAAGAACTCCATTTTCTCAGCCTCTCCATGCACAAACATGACATGCTTCGGTTCGCATTGTCGAATCAATTGCATAATTCCTTTGGCGTCTGCATGAGCACTGAATGACATATATTCGACGCCAAGTTTAATTTCATGCACTTTTCCGTCGATTTCAATCCGTTTCTCTCCATTGATGACCCGTGCTCCCACGGTTCCAGCTACACAGTATCCAGGCATAATGATCATGTTTAATGGATCCGAGCACCATTTTTTGAAAACTTTCAAAGATTGTCCGCCGTGAAGCATTCCTGGAGTGGAGAACAGCACTTGTGGTCCTGGCTGATCTTCACACCCTTTCTCCATTGGCCGGATATGCTTGAACTCGAACATATTCCTTTCGACAAACGTCTTCTTGATATTCTCATTGGTCCAACTGATAAACAAGCGATAATATTGATTAGCACGCTCTGCAAGTCCTTGTGAGAAGTAGATTGGAACATTTAACGCCATTCTCTCCCAATAGGATTCCAGAAGGATGCAAAGCTCTTGAGCACGACCCAATGCGAACACTGGAATGATCACTTTGCCACCTTTCATCACTGTTTCGTGAACTTTTCGAAGGAAGTCTCGCTCTCTAGCTCTCTTCGAATCTCTGATAGTAGTAGCGTAGGTGGATTCGGAAATGAGGATCGTTGGACGAACTCCTGGTAGCACACGGGCGGCTCCTAGATGTCGATCGGGTGTCATATTGTAGTCTCCGGTGTAGAGAACAGAATGATCGCCTACACGAATCTCAAACATGGCTGCTCCGAGAACGTGTCCGGCGTAAAAAGCTCGGATTGATAGCTGATCATCCACTTGGATAATCTCGTGAAGAGCGCAGCCAATCACTTTCTTCATACAATTTTTGATGTCGTCGGATGTGAAGAAATTGGTTTCTCCTTTTATGTCACATTGAACTTTTCGATAATCTTCTAGAAGCACTGGACAGATTGCTTTTGTTGGGTAAGTCATATAAATTGGGCCATCGTATCCGACGATTTCACTCATATGCGGTAGACTTCCACAGTGATCCAAATGGAAATGAGAGATGATCACACAGTCGAGGTAGTCTGTCAAACGGCCTCCACCTCCGATGTAGCTGAAAAAGAATGTTTTTTCGAGGAAAATTTTTTTAAAAACATACGAAAAATCTGGAAATCTCCGATCGTCTTGATAACCCATGTGCATTCCACAATCCACCATAATATTCTTAGTTCCAATTGTGATGAGAATACAGGATCGTCCTACATCTTGACCGGCTCCCAGTGGCACAATCTTGATATTCGGCAACACTTCTTTTTTCTCTGGCACCACTACAGGCGTTTCCTCAGCGGGTTCGGAAAAAGCCTTTTTTCCGAATTTCTTCTTTAGTTTCTCCATTTTATTCTGATTAATTTGGTTGAGTTGCAGCTTTGAATTTCGAAAATTCCGCTGTAAACTCCCCGATTTCGAATTTTTCGACTAACTACGGTGCGCAATTGTCGTAGAGTGTGGTGTACACTCTGAGGTTCACCGCATGCGGTGAACTTTAGACAACCCAACAATTTCTCGTTTGGCCTAAAATTTCTTGTCGATTTTCTCTTGGATCGCTTCATCTTTTTCGTTTTTTTCACCGAATTTTGCCGGATTTTCTTCTGAATTTTGTTTTCTTTGATTTATGAATATGCTCGGTAATCGTAAAGTCGTAGTTTCGCACCTTTGCTTGTATAAAAAAGTCTGGAAAAATATTTCGAAACTGTTGAAAGAATTTTTTATTTTGTTCGGATTTAATGCATTTTTGGTTTATATGCTAGAAAAAATAGTTAAAATCCTGTAAGATTTCGCAATAAGCATGACAATACGTCTCGTGATGATGACAATTCTGTGTTCTTTGGTCAGATCTTCTATAAATACTCGTCGCTTCTGCTTCTTATTTATGTCTATTTTGTTTCAGAACATGGGTAGACGTCCAGCGCGGTGCTACCGCTACATCAAGAACAAGCCATACCCAAAGTCTCGCTTCTGCAGAGGAGTGCCTGACGCGAAGATCAGAATCTTCGATTTGGGAAACAAGAAGGCTAATGTTGAGGTCTTCCCATACACCGTGCACATGATGTCCAACGAGCGTGAGCATCTTTCCTCCGAAGCTCTTGAGGCCGCCCGTATTTGCGCCAACAAGTACATGGTCAAGAACTGCGGAAAGGTAATTTGTAAGAAGTGATATCAGTATCTCTAATGGATTATTTCAGGACGGATTCCATCTCCGTGTTCGCAAGCATCCATTCCACGTCACCCGTATCAACAAAATGCTTTCCTGTGCCGGAGCTGATAGACTCCAAACGGGAATGCGTGGGGCTTACGGAAAGCCACAAGGATTGGTCGCTCGTGTCGACATTGGAGATATCCTCTTCTCGATGAGAATCAAGGAGGCTGTAAGTTCGAAAAATTGTAACCTGAAAGTTAAATGGTTATTTTCAGAATGTCAAGCACGCCATTGAAGCCTTCCGTCGTGCCAAGTTCAAGTTCCCAGGACGTCAAATCATCGTCACCTCCCGCAAGTGGGGATTCACCAAGTGGGACCGCGACGACTACGTCCGCATGAAGGCCGAGGGAAGACTCGTCTCTGACGGAGTCGGAGTTCAACTCAATCGTGAGCATGGACCACTCAGCAAGTGGATTGACAACCCAATCTAATTTGCATCGTTTGTTTTTTGTTGAAAGCAAATAAATAATTTCCTATGTTATCAGTTTTGTTTTGTGACATTCTAAGAAATACTAGAAAAGGTGAGCTCTTCCTGATATTGCATAGCTCACGGAACGGTGGATATAACATTATTAGTCTCTAGATGAGTGATAACACTGCTGTTCTTCTGCAAGCGATGCGAATGGGTGGAGCTCTTCCTCCAGAAATCGTCGAGTACATGTATCACAACGGAGCTTTTCTACTATTCCTAGGATTCCCACAAGCTTCGGAATTCGGTATCGATTACAAGACATGGAAGACTGGCGAAAGATTCATGGGACTGAAAATGATTCCACCAGGAGTTCATTTCGTATACTGCAGTATCAAGTCGGCTCCCAGAATCGGGTTTTTTCACAATTTCAAAGCTGGCGAAATCGTTGTCAAAAAGTGGAACAAGGAAGCAGAAACGTTTGAAGATGGAGAGGTCCCAGCAGAACAAATCCCTGAAAAGAAGAGGCAGTTAAAATCAATGGACAACTCATTGGCTCCATATCCATACGAGAACTACCGTAGCTGGTACGGTCTCACAGATTTTATCACACCTGAAACTGTTGAACGAGTTCATCCGGTTCTCGGAAGGATCACTTCGCAGGCAGAACTAGTCAGTCTCGAAACGCAGTTCATGGAGGATGCCGAGCGGGAGCACAAAGAGACGCATTTCAAGAATCGCGTCGATCGACAGAATCCCGTTAGAACGCGTTTCGTCGATCAGCACGGATTACCGATCATGAAGATTCGCGAAGGATATGAAATACGGTTTCAGGAGATTCCAGCGCTAACGGTAAGCTGTGTTTCGCTTGATTTGCGGTTCAAATTTGTCAAATTTTTTTAACGAATTTTTGGCTAAAAATGAGCAATTTCATGCCAAATTCGAAGAGTTTGGGTCAAACGCGAAGATTTTTAAGGCCAAATTTGAGGATTTTTGTGCAAAACATATATGTCTCAAATTCATGAATGAAAGACAAAAATTCTGACGAGCTACGATTTTTTTTCGCGAAAAAATTCTGACGAGCTAAAAAATTAACAGGGCGAGTACGGTAGATACTTTAATGAAGCAAAAAAAGTTTTCCCTTCGGAGAAATTTTTTGAAGAGGTATGAATTCTTCCCAATTTTCTGACGAAATACCGTTCATGCCCATTCATTTTTTGATGCATGTATGTTGCAAAAAATGAACATTTTCAAGCTAATTTCGAGTATTTTTAGGCTGAAAATGAAGATTTTCGGATTGAATTTAGATATTTTCAACCTCCAAAGTGACGATTTTCTAGCCAAAGTTTGAAGTTTGTCGGGCGAAAAATTATGATGATTAGCCTCAATTTCAAGATTTTCAGAAAAACAACGATTTTCAGGTTGAAAATAGCTATTTTTAGATCAGAAATCGAGACATTCAGGCTTAAATTTGAAGATGTATAATGTCAAGTTTGAGGATTTTCCGGCTGAATTTAGAGATTCCAGCGCTAACGGTGACGTGTCAGAGCATTAATCGGAAACTAGGTCACCTTTTCTAGTGGAAAGAATCGGAAAGTTCCACAACGACAACTACCGTGACCGAAGAATATTTTCGTTTTCCGGTTTCATTATCTCGAATTTCGTGTATTTTCAGTGTTTTTTCAATATCAAACATTTTTATTTTTAAGAGAAACCCTTTTTAGGTAACGGTAGTTGTCGTTGTGGGACCTTCGGCCATTGTCATGGCTCCGATTTATTTTTCGCACCATCATAATACCGTACTCAAGTAAAATGCTCAAAATTCCACGTGGAAACCACTAAATTCCAGGTCACCAAACACCAAGTGGGCATAGATTACTCCGATCGTTTATACGTCCTTCTCCGTGGCCTCGGAGGCGACTGGAAGCAGCTCTTGGCTGAAATGCAAATCGCTTTCGTCTGCTTCCTACAGGGACAAGTTTTCGAAGGCTTCGAACAGTGGAAACGAATCATTCATCTGATGTCATGCTGCTCAAACGCGTTGGGATCCGAAAAGGAGCTCTTTATGGCTTTTATTAGAGTACGTTGACAAATTATAAAAATACTAAAAATCATAATTTTTCTTCCAGGTGCTCTTCTTCCAACTCAAAGAGTGCCCCACCGACTTTTTCGTCGATATTGTGTCCCGCGACAATTTTCTCACCACCACTCTCTCGATGCTCTTTGCCAATGTTCGGGACTCGGCACACGGTGGCGCTGAGCTCAAAAAGAAGACCGCCCAGTTCAAGCAGTATCTCACAAATCAATTCAAATGGGATTTTGATTGTGAAGACGGAGGCGAGAAGTTATAATGATCTCTATATTGCTTGTTGTTGCTATAATTTTTCAAATCTCATTTATTTATTAAATCGGTTTATTCTTCAAAAAATGTGTAAAGACAAAGTGAAAAGAAGGCACTGGATTATAGACAGAAAGGCGGATCATCACAAGGCACAGATTCGTAATTTCTAAAGCCCTAGATAGTCATGTAAGTTCAGATCAGTTGGATAGAGGTGTATTCAAGTGGAGCATCAGCGACTGATCAATCAATGGCTTAATATCTAAGTCAATATCAGTTATCATTGGTTCCCCATCACTACTGCTCGATGTGCTGGTAGAGGTTTCAGATGAGTTGTCCGCCAACATTCCAGAGCATTGAGCAAGTTCCTGTGTGTGCTGCATTGCCAAATGGATGAATAGAAGGTCTGTGGAGTTGGTGGAGAATGTGCACAGAGAACATTGAATTGGAATATTTGAATTTGCCGCCGAAGGACCGAAAATCGAGGAAGTGGTGGCTGCGGGGATGACGTCAGAAGCCATCGTTGGAACGATGATTTTCTTTCTGAAAATGTGTTTTTTTCTTGATCAGAAATTATTTTTATTTTTAATTATACTTCCCCGTTCTGTTTTACTATGTCTCGAATGAGTAGTGTGTGTTTGAGAAAAATCCAGTTTTTTGTCTTGTTCCGCGATTTATATTTTCGCTAAAATCGCCGCTCTGAAAACATGCGAAAATGGGGAGAGAGAATGACTAGAAACAAACATCACACACAGGAAAAAATTAAAGATTGTGTCAGTTTTCAAGTTTTTTTGGGAGAAATTCAATGATCGTTCCTGATACGAGACTTTGGGTAGAATGCGAAGGAAACTACTGTGATTCTGGTGATACGGCATCGCGGATTTGGCACCTAGCCAAGTTTGGGCGCGTCGCCTGTTGGCGGAGCGGTCCTCAGCTGAGAAGCGACTCAATTTGATTTTCAGAACGCGTTCACGGCGTGTTTTCCGGTGGAATGGAGGCAGAGTAACGACCGAGCAGTTCAAATTGTAGCTTCCGCGTCGAGACCAACGCTAATTTTACTGTAGTATTGCGGTAGTCGCGTTTGAGCGAATTTACATAAAGTCAGCCTCACCAAACCTCATACGAGCGATATAAGCTTGCTATTATTCTGTTAGAAACAAATTCGGAACTGTGGAAAAGGAACGCCGGTAGCCGTGGCCGAAGGTGGCCCGCAACGACAACTACCGTAACCTAAAAGTATCGTTTCCGTTTTTTCTCGTTTTTCACTGCTTTTTCTACTTTTTTCACCAGAAAATGACCGGTTTCGAAGTGTCGCAGTTTCGAAGTGGCGCGGAGCCAAAAAAGTCGGAAAATAACCATTTTGATAGTCAAAAAATCTCCAGAAAGCGCACGAAAATCGAGAAAGAAATTCGGAAAATATACATTTTTCAGGTTACGGTAGTTGTCGTTGTGAGACCGGCGTCTCTCAAAGCAAAGATGTTTTTCTACCCGTACAATACTTCCTGTCCCTTTAAATCAAGATAGGCTAGCCGAGTCTATGTGCCTCGCCATCCCTCATGCTCTCTAATTCCTCTATTTCCCACTAATTAAATATGCAGTTTCGACATTTCTCCATTGAAAAAAGTCAACACAAAATCTCGAGTCAATTATCACTCTCATCAACTACCCAACTTGAACTTTCCCACCAACATTTGCATAACTACCGTACTCACTTGCTCTGTGCTCTCTTCAATGCTCCAACTGGCGAGCCGGCGGGTCCTTCGGTTTCATGCCGTGCAATATGCTTCTCCAACATTGCTGGACTTTTCGAGACGTGTCTACAGAATGGACACTTTCTGGATCCTGAAATATCGTGGAATTAGAACAACACTAGAAAACCTGTAATAAAATTGCCCTCATCTTTGCGCTCAATTATCTCGGCTCCTGTAAGAGATATCAAAAATGTGTCAACTGATAAAATGTTTGTGATATTATGATAAACAGTTTATTAGTTGACTACTTTTTCGAATCTGTTACAGGCATCAAGATAAAATGTCTCGAAGATAAAAGTTAGGGGCCCACAGGTTTTACGGTTTACGGCAGAACTAACCCAAATCAATATTCTCTGGCAGAGGAATATGATGACGGTAATACTTATGAAAATGGATGTATCTTGCTTCCCGAGTGCTAAAATTGCACCCATTCTCCTCACACTTGATCGGTGGATTACGGTGATATATCGTGACGTGGTAGGATACCGAATTGTACCGTCCGTAGATTTTTCGGCATACGGTACACATGAATCCTCCATCCACCTTCTCAATGTACTTTTTATTTCGACACCATCCCTCTTTATCATCATTTGGAACGATTTTCTCCAAATCTGTAGTAGGTGGAGTGGACGATGAATTAGCACGCGGAGAGCTGCCTTCTGATTGTGTCCTAAACCAAAAATTTGAAAAATTAGACTTTTAAAATGCGCTCTATTGCTAACCTGCTTTCGGACGGCGGTGAAAAAGCCAACCCTTGTGAGCCAAAGAGTGCACCGAAAAACGGGTTGGTCCATAGATTTAGCATTGTGGATAGATAATTTGGAGGTGCTGAGGTATACTGTAGAAATGGGTTGGAGCATTGGAGCGCACTTGCAAGCGTCATTGGAGGTGTGGCAGATGCTAGAGAGATAATCTTCTGGTCCAGAAATGATATTTGACAGAATTGACAGATAGCGAGAATCTGGAAAGTTTTGGAGGTGATTTGGTCTGGAAATTTAGCCGGCCTGCCGACCGAATTTGTGCATTTTCGCGTCAACATGCCAGAGTGTTTGCGTCCGTAGCAATTATTTTACGACGCACTATTCAAATGCTGCCAAAGTGCATTTATTCCGTCGACTATCGGTCAGCTAGAAACTTGATTTTTCTTGATTTTTGCTTACTATTAGGACCTTATAGAACCAAAAATTTGCTGCAATTCTATCAAAAAACCAACTTTCTAGCCCTTCTAGAAGCCGAAATACAGTAATTTGAAGTTTGGGAGGTTAGAGACGCAGTGTGTCTCGTTGTCTGCGTCTCTATCGTGCGAAACTTTAAAAGGGTGTATCTCAGCTTCTAGATAAGCTAGAAAGTTGGTTTTTAAACAGATTTGAAGAAAATTTCTAGCATAATATTCTGCACAGATACAAGCCCACCGACCGCCAACCCATCGGTCAGCTTGAGACTCTCAATTCTATTAATAAACACTATATCACGTGGATCCATGACGAATTCTGAATTTATAGTTCGTTCTCGAATGATCTTCTACTACTCCCACTCATTTCCAACCTGTCCAACTTGAAAATAATAGTTCTTTTTTTGTTATCATGTCATGTTTTTCCTTTCTACAGTACCATATAATATTAACCCCCACAAAAAATTCCCCATGTTTGTTTTTCCAACTCCTTACCTCGTTCGGTTGGACGATACCCGCCATTTTGATATCACCAGAATACATGGCGTCGAGAATGACTTTAAAGGCGCATAGAGCATTGGGGAATATCGAAAGATCGAGTTTGATCGAGGTGAAACATTCATCTGAAGAAGATTCTGATGACGTGGAAGACGAAGATGTGGGCGAGGATGATGACGTGGCATCGTCGATGAGCTGGCGAAGGATTGGCGAGAAGGTTGAGAGGACTGTTCGGTGACCGAATAGGACTTCTTCTGAAAGTTAACAATTTTCAAATTTTTGAGAAAATGAAAATTAGAAAACCATGGTGTAAAATACCGAAATAGTAACCTAGAAAATTATTGGAAGATTAGCCCACACAAATCTTCAACTTTGAGTTCAATTATCTCAGTTCCCGTAAGACTTAAGAACAAACTGTCAACTGATAAAATATTGGTGATATTGTGATAAATATTTTATCAGTTGACAGATTTTGATATCTTTCCTAGGAACCGAGATAATTAATCTCAAAGTTTATGGTTTGGTTGAGCTTCTATTAGAGGAATTACGGTATGATGTTTTCCCTAATTTTCAAAACTTCGTAGCCTAGAATTGGTGGCCTAGAATCCGATAATCTAGAGTTTTTATCTAAATTGCCAGAACGATATCTTAAAACTTCAAGAGCATGGCCTAGAATGTGGAACTATCTCTAATAGTAGCTCATCCAAACTTTGAGCTCAATTAATTCAGTTACCGTAAAGATATCAAAAAAGATATCAAAAATTTGTCAACTAATAAATTATTTATCATAGTATCACCAACATTTTATCAGTTGATACATTTTTCAAATCTTTTCCAGGAATCGAGATAATTGAGCTCAAAGTTGACGGTTTTGGTGAGCTTCTATTAGAGAAGATACGGTATACTATCTTTTCTACGACCTAACTCTCTCACTCCTCTATGACCTAACTCTCTCACTCCTCTATTTCCAGGCCACCTTATCTACAGTACCCACTAACCTTCAATCTTATCATCGTCTGTAGAGTAGGTCAAATGAATTTTAGTATCGAAATCTGCCCTCAGTGGTGACGACGGTTGTGACGATTCGGATCCCGTGGGCGGTGGACTAGGATTTTCTTCTTCCATTTTTCTGATGATCTGAAGTTTTATACAGTATGCAAATGATATGGAAAAAGAGAAAACAAGGAATAGGAGCAGGAAAAGGGGGGAGAAGAGCCCAGAGGGAAAAGTGGGCGGAGCCTAAGAACGGTAAGAAGGGGTGGTGATCAGGTAGAATAGAGGGTGAGAGAGAGAGAGAAAAAAAAAGAACGGAATAAGTTTGAATGGAAAAACAAGTGAGAAGAAAGTTCTAGATTTTGAGTTTTGGCACTCTGCCAGGGATACGCAAGCTTCTAAACTTCGAAGCGCCATATCTCAAAAATCAAAAAATAATAATAATAAATTTGTGAACTAGTGAATTATAGCTCTTAAAATGTTACACATTTTGTTAGTTGCCAAAATTTGAATAGTCTTATTGGCTCAAGAGATATGCGCCTTTAAAGAAAATATGCATGACGGCGAGCGCGAACGCATATATCTCAAAAACTAGAGAAGCTATCAAAGTTTTAAAAATTACTTAAATATACCTTATAAAATTCTACACATTTTTCTAGTTGACAAAATTTTGATAGCGCACTTGGTTCTTGAGATATGCGCGTTCAAAGGAAGGTTACTGTAGGTGTCGTGTTACCTGGGCCCCTACAGTAACCTACTCGAAAAACTATAAACGAAACGACATTCAATTCTAGTTGGTCTACCAATCTCTAGAAAAATGTCGAAATTGGAAATCACAAGAAAAATCTTTGATTTGAATCAATAAGGGAGAAATTCGGAAAACACGGAGACAGGGGTCGGAGTACACCAAATTCTCGACCTGTTTTTCAGCTGTCTTCTACGCTCTCGAAGTTGAAAAACACTCGTCGTTTCATCTTTTTCTTTTTGTCTTTTTGAGGGAATGATAAGAATAAGAAAAGTGTTTTAGGGCACTTGAAGTTTTAACCCCTCCCCCCACGCTCCCACCAAGGCTGGCGACAAACCCCGCCGCTCCTATACGCCATACTTACTCATTTACCTTGGGGTGCATATGGCGCAGCCGGTTGCACTCTTGGCCGCCGCGCCAAAGGTCATGGGTTCGCTCCCCACACAGGTGTATCACAACATTCCCAATGATCTCATAATGTTATATCATTTTTTTTTGTTTTTTCAGAGGGACCTGTGGTGCCTGGCACCCCCAGGCACCGTCCGCTCCTGAGTCATCTTGAGTAGACAGAGAAGAGTCTCATAATGTTTGCTCCCGATCAGTTTTACTGTAACCAAGCATTTTCTCGGCTTTTATAAAAAAAGAGGAAAAAATGAGGGAACTGAATTTCAAAACAAAAAAAACAAGTACTGTCGTAATTTGGAACGGCTTGCTTTTTGACAAACTTGGCTTATCTTTGGGGTGGGGCTGAAAACTTTTTTTTTAGAAAAACACATGGAAAACAACAAGTTGGAAAATAAGTTGGAAATTACAGAAGATAAGGAACTAGTGAGGAAGTAAAGAAGAAAAAAGAAAGTTGTTTTGAAATAAAAAAAATATGTATAGAGGAAAATAGGAACCAAAAAGTGCAATGTCGTTTTTAAGGGAAAATGGGAAAAATGGGTTACTGTAGCTCGAAACTATGATCCTAGAAAAATTCTAACATCTAGCTTAAAATTTAAGATTTTCTACTGAGATTTCAAGTTATAGAACGCAAGTTTTCCCATGCTGAACGGGGAAAAACCCTGTAATAGAAGGGCATCCGAACATTGAACTTTGAGCAAATTTATCTAGCTTCCTGTAAAAGATATCAAAAAGTAGTCAATTGACAAATTGTTCATCATATCATATCATATCATCACAAACACTTTATCAGTTAAAACACTTTTGATATCTCTTATAGGAGCCGAGATAATTGAGCTCAAAGATGGGGGGGGGGTCCTTCTATTACAGGTTTTAAGGGAGAACACAGAGTTCAAAATCCGTCTTATCAAGACAAAAAAATTAGAAAAATCAAATGAGAAAACGACACATGTTCCTTTTCAGAAAATGATAGAAACGACACGGTCAATGTCCCTTAAAAAAGTGGGCGGAGCCTAATCATCTAATTACTGACCTCCCCCCAGAAAAATAAAGAGAGAGAGAGAGGGAACGAGAACGAGAGATTATTTGAATTGGTTCCAAAATGTAAAAAGGTGTAAAAAAGAATGTAGTAGTACTACGATAGATGGAATGAAGAGTAATAACAAAAACTGGATTCACTCCTTTTTTTCAAAGATGGACATGGGAAAATAAGGACAAGTGTTTATTTTTGAGATGTCGAGATGAGATCATCTGGTTGCGTGGGCACAGAATCCTAGAATCTCGGAATTTAGAAGTCGTCACCTGGTTTTCTTGGAATCCAGGCACCTTGAAATCCTGGAATATTGAAATCCTAGAATCCTAGAATCCTAGAATTCTAGAATTCTGGAATATTGGAATCCTGAAATACTGGAATCTCAGAATCGTGGAATCTTGAAATCCGAATGGAACCCTCGAGTTTTAGAATCTTGTAATCATGACATTCTGAAATCTCGGATTCTGGGTCATAGAACTGAGATGGATCTTGAACAACAATTTTACAAAAAGTCAAAAAAAAAGAAATCCTGGAATTCTGGATTCTGTAATTCTGGATCCATGGAATTCTGAAACCCTGAATTTTTGGAATCCCGAAATATTGAAATTCCGAAACCTTAGAATCATAAGAATTTCAAAATTCTAGAACCTTAGAATTATTTAATAGAGGAGTTCTGGAAACCTGGAATCTTGGAATCCTGGAATCCTGGAAATGTGGAAACTTAGAAACATAGAGTCCCAGATTCGTGGAATTCCGGGATCTTGGAAAATTGGAATTCTGGAATTTTAGAATATTGGAAAAAGAAATATGGGAAATTTTCAGAATTTCAAATTTTCGGAATCTCGAATTTCTGAAATTCCGGAAACTCAGAATCCTAGAATCCCAGAATCTTGGAACCCTAGAATCTCGGAATTCTGGAACTTTAGAATCCTGGAACCGTATCCTAAAACAAATTCCGGATTTCTAGAAGTCTGGAATACAGGAATCATGGAATAATAAACCCGGGAAATTTTGATAATTTCGTTTTCAGAAATCCTAAATTTCTAAATTTCGGAATCTTGAAAGTCGAACATACTGGAAACTTAGGATCCTACAACCCCAGATTCCCGGAATTTCAAAAGTCACAAAAAGTTAAAAAAAAGAAAAAAAAACAAAACTTCCGCAAAAAGAAGAATCCGAGTACAAACGAAAATCTCAGCAAAACTGCAAAACCCCAAATGCCCACCTAGTCTCTCTATGTCCTATCCAATCACCAAAAACAAAATCAGTTTTCCCAGAAAAAAAGGACTCCTCCTCCTCCATCTCTTCTCCTCCAATTAAGGTACATCTCTTTTCTTAAATGGGTAGTTTCGGGACAAAAAAGGAAATATAAGGTCTTCTGGAGACAAACACAAATTGAGCTCTCTTCTTCTTTCTTCCCTTCAGAAGCTCATTTCTTCAAGGTTTCCGCGAAATTCAATTTCGTCCCCCCTATTTTTTTTGTGCCATGTTTGCCCATCATCATCATCCTATCCAGTTCTCTTCAGCTTCTTAGCTTTGCCCTTGTCACTGACCGCTCTTTTCCCCTTTCTTTTTCTTTTCTCTTTTTTCTTCCTTCCTTTTTTCATATATTCCTTTTTTGTCTTCTTATTTCGTTGACTCATTTTCTTTTCTTCTTTCTTCTTTCTACAGTAACTCTCTCTTTCCCTTTGAACACAGACACAATGGTCAGTAGAAAAGGTCGAGAAGAAAGGGAAAAGCGAGAAGAACAGAAGATGAACAAGAAAGTTCTGGGTATTTTAAAAAATGTAGAAATTTTGAAAAGTTGACATTTGAAATTTGTTCAGTTGCCAAAGCTATTGAGAAAGGGTTCCTAGTACCGTACATTGTTAAGTTTGAGCTCAATTACC